TTCCCCTCCTTGTGGGATACATCAGTCGGTGCTCGCACGAGTACAAACAGCATCATGCAAGTGCCAAGGCAGCAAGCTGGGTGACCAGGGTTTGTGACGGAGGTGGGCTGTACTTCTGCGTTTGGGGTGGGGGAGAGGGCTTTTGGGGCCAGGGAGGGCTGTGGGGAGTGGGAGGCGGTGGGTGAGGAGGAGAAGGGGTTAGGGGGGTGGTGGGATGCTGGGTGCTGTCGTCATGTGAACTTTGGGATGCTGGACCGGCCCTGCCAGCCGCGGATGGGGTGAGCGCTGGCACTTGTGCAGCTGTTGTAACAACCCAGGGAAGAGTGTTGGGGCTAAACCGCAGCCTGTGATGTCTGTTCCCGATGATGGCAGATTTTCAGCACCATTGTTGAAATAGGAAAGGAGCAACCTTGCAGGATTTGCTTCCGAGCCTCAGTGAGAAAGAGACAGCTTCTTAAACGAGCGGTACGCAATGTTTCCTCTTGGTTGGCATTTTACGTGGTACTGAACCACGGTGTGTTTGTTGCATGTTGGCTAATTTGCGAACTCTTCCTGCAGGACGGTTGCCTGGAATACCTGTTTGTTGCTCTAGTTTTTTGCGTGGATCCCCATTTGCTGCCGTTGTGCCAAGTGGCTCCATTTCTGCTAACAGAGACAGGAGTCTCCCAATCATTTTGTATGTTAAGGGCTGGATTTAACGGAGTCCGTTTGGCCGTTGGAGGAACGGGAAGGTGTGAAACTGCCTGAGTGGGAAGCCGCTCGTATTTGGTACGGTAACGTGTGGTTTATGCTGGTGTGAGTCGCTTGTGTGCACGCTGAAAGCTTTGACTCTGCTTTGGTTTGGCTTTCTTGGCGTCTGTTCTGTAGGGTGGCACTGGCAGCTGGATTGCTTCCTGCGGTGAACGGGAAAGGGCCCTTCTGCGTAGGGAGGGCAGGATCCGAGGACGGGCTCTGTAGGGCTTGTGCTGCTGATGAGCTTGGAGTGGTTGGTGTTTTAAACTGGCTCTTAAATGTGAACACTGGAAGGCCTTGTTTGATGGAAGGGGAACGGGAGGAAAGAGCCCGCTGAATGGAGACAGACATGCTCTAAGCTGTGAGCTGCTGAGTGATGCTGCAGAGGGACTAGTGCCTCTGTCCCTGCCGTTTCTCTGAGTGACTACCAGTTTTAGGTATCTGCAGGTTGCCTAGTCAGACTTTTTTCTGGATCTGGGTTCTGGAATGCAGAGCTGATGCAAGGAAACTTCATATAATGAGTTTCAAGTGATTAGCTCTTCAGCTTCCTGCTTGATGGCTTTGCCCCTGGTGTCACTTCTTGTCCTGAGCGGAGTGGAGTAATAATCTGAAAACTAGGAAACAGCTACAGTAAGTTTTGTGCTGTAGAAAGAGGATACTGGCTCTGGACAGTAATTCTGAGCTTTAAGTTCTTGTAACTATGCTGAATTGTTCTTTTGAGCTAATGTCATTAATCAAGGCCCCCAAAATAATGAGTCTGGTAGTAGGGTTACTCCTGCAAGCCAAGTGGTGTGTTGAGGGGACAGTTGTGATTCAGAGTGTAATTTTCAGGTGTTAAAAATGTTCAGCTTGCCAGGTAAGGATAATAAGCTAATGCTGCAGTTGTACCATATACCAGCAAAGATCTGTAGTGCTCCAGTGCTCTTCTGTTTAGCCCATTCCCATAACTCAGGCACCTCCAGATTGCAGGATCTATTGTCTGTCCGGAGCAGCAATCCCGGCAGTAACCTTGCAGATGCTTTAGGGAAGGCTCGTTGGTGTTTTTCCCTTTGAATTCAACTTTCTGAATTTATTCCCAAGCTGTTGCATTTCCTTACTAAAAGCTGAGGTGCTCATTCTGTTTCTCTTTTCCTCTCCAGGATGGTGCAATGGATTTACTGAAAGAACTGAAAAATATGCCTATGACTTTGGACTTATTGCAGGTGAGTTGCACAGTTAGGGTAAAGAGCTGAAGTCTGCATCTGGATGACTTCAAAACGTTATCTAAATAAATTTAATAGGTTTGCTCTCACTTCTTGCTTCACTCAAAACATCAAAATAAACAATAAATCCAGAAAGTAGTACTGAACTTGGGTTTTGGACTGGTGATGAAATAGCTCTGGGCCACCATGGCTGCCTAAAACTTGTGCACAGCTGATGAGGCAAAGGTGGGAAACTGCTCAAATCCTTTCTTAGGCTTCAAAAAGAGGAAAGACCACACCAAGGACAGTGGTGAGAGAAGTTCGTTAAGTCTTTGTAATGGTGACATTCAGGACACTGGGGAGATGTGAACAGAGTTACAATTTGGAGATTAAGATGTGCATCTTAGATTTTTTCACTCTGAGCTTGAATGTCACTCACAGATGTGCGGAGAAGGTATTTGTGGGTGATTGGATGTCTGGCTTGTGATCTGTTTGAGTAAACTGGAGAGTGTCATCTCACTCTTCCGAAGTTGTAAGGAGAAAATCATTCTGCACATCCTTGGGTACTTCATTTCCTGGTCATTGCTTTGACTTCGTCATGCTTATTTCTGATTTCGGTTAGTAACAAATAACAAATCTGGTTTTGAATGATTCATTTGGATGTTCGCTTGCAGTCCACCCGCATCGGGATGTCAGTAAACGCCCTGAGAAAGCAGAGCACAGATGAAGAAGTGATATCGCTTGCCAAATCCCTCATCAAATCTTGGAAGAAACTTCTAGGTAAGAAAATCAGCATGTTCCTGTCAGATTCAACTTGTGAAGGAGCTGGCTTCTGTGGGAGGCTGGGTGTCTCATAAAAGCTTATTTATTGATCTGAACAGAATATTCTAGATAAATCAGCCTTTACAACTGCACCCTCTGTCTGTCAAGTTTTGCCTCTTACCATGCATTCCTCTAGATTTGGCTCCTGTTTAGCTTAGCTCATCCTAGAAAGAGCACAGGAAGCTTCAGGACCATTCTTATCGCGTACCTGTCCATGTAATAATTAGCAGCGTTATTTGCAGAAACAATATCTGCACTCTGAACCCTCCGCCCCCACTCGTGTGCTCTGAGGCATTAATACAGCGTGTGCTGTCGGCCTTGTGCAACGGCTTGGAAAGAGAAATGCTGGAATGCGTTTTGGGCGATGGGTTATAGAAGGGCCTTAGTTTAACACCTCGTAGACCGGTTCACATGGACTGTTTCCTGCTGGGGAGGCTTTCGTGGTGATGGACAGTGAGGAAGAGCAGTAGCTTGTCATTCTGTCTGGGAAATCTTAGTGCTGATGTAGCACAGACTAATGTCAAAATTACAGATGAAGAGATTAGTTACCTTTGTGATAAAAGAATGAGGCATCTGCAGCGCTGGGATCCAAGGGCGGCTCTACCCGTGTCCTGCTAGCAAGACCGTGTGTGTGGCAAAGTACCCCAATGTGAAATTCAAACATTCCTTTTTTTTTTTTTAAACAGATCTTTGGGGCAGCTGTGTGTAAAAAGAGCAAGAGTGACGTGGTGTTTGAGAAGAAGGGAAATGTGCGGCTGGCTCTAGTCTGCACCCCAGGGCTCCCCATTTCTTGAAAGGCCACATGAGCCTTGGAAGCACTTTTCCTGTCCTGGCTGGGACTGTCACTTCCACGTTAGGGTTGATGTATTTTGGCTGGGCTGAGACAGTTTACCTCAGGGTCAGACTTGTTCTACAGTGTAGTGAAAGTCCTCTCCACCAGGGTTGTGCTACTGGCTTTCAACAGCACTTGGGGAAACACTAGAAGTTGTGTTCCCAGAAGGACTGGCCTGTACTGGCCCTTCGGGTGGTGTTGGCTGGAGATGCTGCTTTTAGTGGTGCTTTAGAGAACTTGATCTGCTCTGTGCTCAGCAGCCAGGGTGTCTCTGAAGGAACCTTTTGTGATGAGGCGTGTCTGGTGAGGAAGAAGGGAAGGTGATAGCTCGTGAGTTTGGTGAGGAAAGCTTTTGTTTGAATTAGTTTCTACTTAGAGGCAAAGTCTGTTGGAAAGCGTAGAAGACCTTAAGGGCATCCTTTCTCTGGATTATTTTTGGAGAATAATAACTTGCCTTCGGCCAACGCTGTCTAGTGTAAAGACGTTGATTAGTGTGTGCAGGGTTGCAGCATAAAGACCAGTTCTGAACCCTCGAGCATCCATTTCTCTTCTTTGGAATACAGATGCTTCTGAGGAAAAAAGCGAGGAGAAAAAGAGGAGCCTGTCTTTGCCAACATCTTCCTCGAAGGAGACTGGTAACTCAAGAGACCACAGGTAATGCTTCCCTTTAACCAAAGAGGATACCGTTGCAGAGTTTGAATTAAGGCACCTTACATTAATTTTTATTTTTTCAGTGTTGTGAGTTGCAGATTTTGTGTAGTAAATTCCTGATCAGAAACAGCAGAAGTGTAGACTTCTTCAGAGATGATCTGTGTGGTGTTTTTAATAAACTGTAATGGAGAAATATACATGTACAAAACAAAGTGAGTTTTTTGATTTTATTCACATTTTATTTCATACTTTTCTGCTCTTGGTTATGTGTTGGTTTTTCCATTAGTAAAATATTCCTCTGTTCTTTTTTGTGTTGCATTCGCCTGTATTTTTGCTTATTTCTGACTTCGAACTCCTTAGAGTGAAGATCATTTTTGGCCTTTGCAATCTCAAGAGATGGATGGGATTGATTCATACATCGCTGTAGTAAAACTTCCATTTCTTTGTCCTCTTCTGGACAAGTCCCAGCAGAATTCCTCTTGCCACTCTGGACCGATGTCCGCCCATCTGGCAGGTCTGCTGCATGCTTGCTTCTTGCCATGCCTTGAACGTTGCATCCCGTTTTCACTGCCTGTGGCTGCGCGTGCCAAGCCCATGAGTGGAGGCAAGTGCCATTTAAAGCTTTGTCCCAGAGGCGAGAGACTTCTCCTCCTCAGATCCCAGCAGGATGTGTGCTTCACAGGTTTGACCCTTAAGCCATTTAGGCAATTTCCCAAGCTTGCCAGAAGATGTAGAGTGTGAAGGCTATAGTCTTGCTGGTTTACAGGCTCTTCCATGTTTGCAGCCTGCCTCTGGTCACTTTTTTGTGTCTCTACCTTTTGCTTTTCCTTTTCCTTTTTTGCTCAGATCTCTCAAGGCTTGGCACTTTGGTGTGACCCCTTGCAGCTCTGCACAGAGCTGCTGATGGAGAAGGCTGCTGATGCTGAGCTACATAACCAAAGATGCAAGTCAATTCAAGTGATCTGCCTTCCATAAAATGTGAAAAAGGATTTGCTGAGCGTTGCACTGAAAGTACTGGGGAGACTTCACAGCCAGAATGGAGTCTTGTAGTGATGTAGTGCAACACGGGGACTGGGGCTGTCTAGATCTGTGTGTATGACACATCCAGTGGCAGTCTGGTGTGTGACAGTGGTATATGGGGGTAAAAGCAGTAGGATGGGGCTTCCTGACTGCTGTTTCCTTTCCTCCCTTTGAGAGGAGATAAAGGTTGGAGGCCAAAGAGCACTCTCTGATAGTGGAGAAGGGGTTGCTTTGTAAGCTGAGTTAGTCTGAGCAGTATCACCAGCCTTGGGATGCAAATACCTTCTCTTTATAATCCCTGTCCTCTAAAGTGCAGACTGGTACTGCATTCCCCAGGGTGTGGACACAGGGAAGACTTATGGTAGGGCTCATGAGGGTAGGAACTGAGTCAGCCATGGGCAAGAGCCTTTGTGCCTGCCCTTACTGGTAAGGGAAGGCAGATTTCCCTCCAGGGTAAGGGCAGAAGCCTGCATGGAAGTACTTGTTGGCTGTTCCTTATGGGGAAAGAAGAAGACAAGTATTACTGACTTGACTGGTACTGCTCAAGCCAGGAAGTAATATTGGTGTTCAAAGAAAAAGGGAAACTTCTGATTTAACCCTTGGAGAATCTGATTTAACTCCTTGGGGAGTGCAGAGCCCGGAGGGAAGGAAGTGTGAGGCATTCTCTGGGTACAGTGGTAGTAGGCACTTCATGAGCAAAACTAGCTGAGCCTGCTAGGACATCTGGTTTGAAGGCTGAGACTTTTAGCAACTTCACTCAAAATAGGTAGAGAGGCAAAACCCCCCTGTCTCCTTGCTAGTCAGACAGTTATGTAGAGTGGAGCTTTCTGGCTTGTGTTGCTAATGCTGTGCCTTGAGGATGTGCTGCAGATACTGCAGGGTTTTTTTTTGTTCTCCTTGATGCTTTCTACATGTATTCAGCCTCCATCTCCTGAATGGCAAAGCATCCCCTTGGTTGTGAAGGATAAACAGAAGCAAATGGATTAGCGTAGGATACACCAGCAGAAGTGGTTAGCTCCTGATGTCAGTCTGAGCCAGGTTCCCTTTACAGAGACAGGAATGCTTATTCTCCAGTGCTGCAAAATGAACTCACTGATCTGCCTTGACCAAAAAAAAATAGAAATTATTAGCGGCGAAGAGTCTTTGTTCTTGAAGCACAGGCTATGCTGAAGGGAGTCAGACTAGTTGCTCTGTGTGTGATAGCTGGTTCAGACGAGGCTGCTATTGAGACACCAAGGAGATACCAGCTTGTGTTCAGCTATTTCAGCCACTTAGGCTGATAGATTTCGGCCAGGCATTCCTCTTCTGTCAGGGAGAAGTACTTGAATAGCTTTTGGCCTGCAACTTGTCTTGCTTTCTGGAACACAGATGTAGAAATCTGTCTGTAGTGACTGGAGAGCTAGCACTGCAGACCTGGAGGCTCGGAGCCCGCGGTGTGGAGCTGGCACCTGTGAAGTTGTGTGCTGTGTTACTGGAATCCAAAGCATATTCTGTTGTGCTGCAGTATTTTGGACCGTTAATGTAGGACGTTATGATGGGCTGTGTCTAGTGGTTCTCTGTCTCTGGCTGCATAAGCTTTTTCTTTTCCAGGATTCTCTAAACTGCCTTTATTAGGAGGTTTTGGATCTGTGGCCTGAATTCAGCTCTTCCGTGGGATTTTCTTCTAGTGCTGCCCTGAGTTCTGCTTGCAGTCCCTGGCAGTGGCTTTGCCACCAGTTTGTTCCAGCGTAGCCTTTTTTTATGTATAAACTTTTGTTGACTGGGTAGATTTCCAAGCTCTTTCTCCCGTTTAACAGGAACAGTGTGAACCACAAGGATTTCCTGAAATAAGTCTTCTAGGTGTGTTCGAGGTCTATTTCCCAACTATTCTAATTATAAAGTAACATCCAGCCCAAACCATTCTATGATTCTAAAGCTTAGTAAATAACTTTCTGTACAGTCTTTGGAATGACTGAAAAGTCTGTTTCACCTAATTTGTGAGTGATCAGTTCTCATCTCAGGGCATGTGTGACATGTATGTGCGTAGGCGAGTGTGTCTTTACTCATCAGCTAACAGAAGTGGGATAACCATGCATCTTGTCTAGCTTTTTTTCCACCTCCAGGGAATAAACATCTGTTTAGTCACTGTTGCTTGCAAAATGAGACAAAAGTTAAAGCTGGAAGAGCTCTCAGGAAAGCTTCTCCTGCCACTGCCTCGCAGGACAGCACAACCTCTGCCCAAGCTGTCCCCGACAGGTCTTTCTCGAAGCTCTTCTTTGACAACCCTAAAAACCCTCAGGGTCAGACATTTCCACAGCTGCCCTTGGCAGTATCTTCTAAATCATTTACAGTCTGAAACTCGCTCTCAATCAAAACCTGGCATGCCAAGACTGTTTCTTCATGCCTTTGTCTTTAGCAAGGATGGAGGATTTTTCCTACCATCTTTGTCGCAAGTTTTTAAGGTATTTTAGGACTTGTCTGCTCTAAGTTTTCCCTGCTGCAAGCCACTCGAATTCCTTCAGTCTTTCCTTTTATTGCAGATATGTTTTCTAGGCTTTTTGCCGTTGTCCTTTGGGAAGTCTCATTTTCCCAAACTTTTATGCAACACGATCAGCTGTGATTTTTGGATGTGTTATTCCTGCATTGTGTGTGCTTTGCCATACACACCTCCATGTGTGCTGCCTGTGATCTGTGCATAGCCTGAGCACGAAGTACCTGGTGGTGATTTGTACATCCCAGATGGGAGAAGATCTAATTGATTATTTGCAAGATAAGTTGTTTCTTTTTTTTTGTAATATGTGCAGTGTAAACTCCATTGAGTGTTTTGAGCTGTTTGGATGCAAATCTCTAGAAAGGTTGGACCAGATGATCCTTGAGGTCTCTTCCAACCTGACGTTCTATGAAATCTCTTCCTTAATAGCCTCCTGCAGTGCTGACCAGTAAAACTAGCTGGCAAAAAAAGTGGGTTTTATTCAGCGACTGGTCAAAGACAACCACAGTAAAGCTCACTCCCTCGTAGAGTGCATTTATTTCATCTGAGCAAGAAATTAATCTTCTGCTAGGGTTTGAGCTCAACAGTTTGCTGAAGGTGCAGTGGTGGGTGCTTCTTAAAAGGACCTGGCGAGGTTTTGAGCTGCAGGAATCCAGTAGCCCTAATGATGATCTACAGGCTTTGAGGCACTGCAGAGCCAGACTGGATTTGAACTGAGCAGCAGCAGCAAGGTCTCCCAGGATAAGTCCCCGAAGTTCTCTGACTCTGTCTCTACAGCAGTAGATTCAGAAAGTTTCCAGCCTCGCAGTTTTTCTGTGGGCTGACTAATCCCTTCCAGGACAGTGTAGTGGAAGTGCCTGTTCATAACAGATGTATTTCTGATGGCAAAGAACTGGCAGTAGTGACCCAGCTTAACAGCAGTTGCCAAGCCACTTGCATCTTCAAGGTGATGTTGCCGATATGCCATGGGTGAAATATCAGGGTTTCTCTTTGCCCTTTGCCTCTTACTGCATTAATGTCACCAGGATTGGCTGTAAATACAGCACATTTTGTGGCCCAAACACCGAAGTCAGAGCAACCTCTGCTGAAAAATTGGCAGTTCTGCTGCCTAGATTTAAGGAAGGCAGCTCTACAAAATCATCTGGGAATCATAATAGCCCAAATCTTTTACCAGTGGTATTTGCAGGGCTAACTAACTCTACATGCAGATGTAAGGCTTTATGGACAAGATGTTTCCACACCGTGGGTGTCCATCCAGCTGCACTGCTCCGTGGAGTTACTTCTCTGGCACGCAGAACTTCGCCGTGGTGCGTGCAAGCCCAGCCGGCGCAGTGGTCGTTCACCTTCGGTCCTGCCAGCCGGCTCCTCTGGCAGATGCCCGGACTGAGTCAGCCACAGCAGGCAGGTGTTTGCATTCCCTTGCAGGTGGAAATGAAGTTATTTTTGTGAGTGAAACAGTCTTTATTAGTCCTCTGCCAGCCTGGCACCTGCGTGAGCCGTGTGTGGTTGTGTAGGGGTGCTGCTCTTCTGTGGGATGAGTAATCAAAAATTCCTGTCAGTATTACAGGAAGAAGAAAGATCCTCTTATGTGTTATGCTTTGTTGTTGTTGTTGTTGTTGGGTTGTTTTTTTTTTTAAACTGGAGCTGAAGGAGCCATTTTCTTTCTTTTCCTTAGCATGGCAGCTCCTTTTGCTGGAGGGGCCAGCGTAGACTTCTCTGATTTCTGCCCAGAAGGCAGCCTGCTGCACTCCTTGACAGCTACAGAGAGCTCGAGTGCTTTTTTGTCTAGCTGTACTCTTTCCTGTGTCTGACAGCTTGGCAGTAAAGGATGTGAGATGAGGAACCAGCTGAGATTAACCTGAGTGGTGGCTTCTGCTCCCTTTCTGCTATGAGCACTTATGGACTTGGTGTCCTATGAAGTAAGAGAAAATAAAGGACCATGAATCTGTGCATTGCATTACCAGACTGAGGGAGCACTGGGGGTTTCAGGAGGTCCTGAGTGTATTTGACTTACTGATGGCATCTAATGGCTTTGTAATATTTTCTCTTGATGGCCAGTGGTGCAGCAGTTGCGATGTGTTGAATAACAGAAGTTGGTTGGCAGGTTTGTTTCATGGATTAAACCCTCCATTTGCATTCAGCAGAGTCCACAGGAGAGCTCGTACCTGCGTTGGTGTTGGTCGCTGTGTTGCACTGTGTGCTGATTTGGGGCAAGTCTTTGCACTGTTTTCCTCTGACTGGTTTTGTATTATGATTAACAGGATGCTTGGCCACATACCTGCTGATCCCTTCTCTGCTCTTAGTGACCTGAACAGAGGTATTCTGACAGGTGAAGTTTCTCTTTTAGCTCCACCAAAAGGCAGGAGCCTCCGAAGACTCCGACCACCCCCAAAATCACCACCTTCCCCCCAGCGCCCGTCACCTGCGACGCTGTCCGCAACAAATGCAGAGAAATGCTGACAACAGCTCTACAGGCTGATGGTAAGTGCTGGGGTAGGGGGCAACCCTGCGTTGCCTGAAGTGCTTCACAGCTCCTGGTACTTTCTGATGGAGACCTCTGCATGTAGGTCAGCGCCAGCTACTCTTAGATGTGCTCTTCTGGAGCAGCCTTGTCAAAGGATTATTGCCATCGGCTCAGTCTAGCCACTGGTCACCCCTTTGACAAACTGGTTGGCATCGAAACATTTCTAGGCACTTGTGCATGGACCTGAGCCAGAGGCATGGCAATGTGCCAGGTGATGGCTGTTAGGAACGTGGGGCTACGTGGGGTCTTCTGCTCTGCAGCCTGGGGTGGTCTGGCCAGAATTTTCATCTTGAAGTGTGTGGATATTTGCTTCCCTTTCTAGGTCTTAGTCTTGTCTGATTGCTGTGAAGTGAAGCTGTCATCTCTGCTTACCTTTGGGGCACAAAATGAAGCTGTAACTCAATCCATGGAATTTGTTGGCAATGGTGCTTATGCCAGGCACTGTCTGCCCTTAGACTCCCCTGCCTGTGCAGACTGGAGCCCCTTAAATACCGTGGTCCTCTGCGGATGTGGGGTGCAATAGGTCTCTCTTGCACTCAGGCTGTGCCATCTAAAATGAGAGGCAAGTGCAGGTGCTCAGCATCTCTGAAAGTCAGAGTTTAAACACCTCAAGCTGAGCAATGTGCTTCTGGCCAAACTGCAGATCCCTTTGGAAAATTGGGGTCTAAGCACTGCAGACTTTTACAAATTTGGAGCCAAGAAATGTAGACAGCAGATGGAGAAGTTCCCAAAGTTTTTATTTCTAGCCTTCCTATGTGCACGCGTGTGTTTATATGTGTATGCTGCATTAAATACTTTGTATAACTCTTAGAGAAACCCTTTCCACGTGAAGTCTGGGATATAGTCCCCTCAAGTCGTTTGCTGAGCTCGGCCCTGTTCTGCCCCATTTTCCCTGCTTTATGGTGCTGGTTACCATACCCAGTGTCCAAACTCATAGCAGTTATTGCACTCGAAATGATGCTGTTTAATTGGCAAGAAGAATGTGAGGGAAGAGGGAAGGGGCAGACAGAGTCATGACCTGAGAAGAGAAACGAGGGCCTGGCTGATGCTGCGTGCTCTCAGGCCCTGCCAGACTGTTGTTCTGAGAGCAGAGCTACTTTTTGTTGACACCAGTATCTGGTGAGACTCAATTCCTGCCTGTATATATATGTTTTCAACTATATCAAGAATATATTGGAAAACTGTGTCTTTTGAGGGCCGGGCTCTTGTTAGCTTCGTCTAGTGCAGTCTCTCTCCTAGAGAGGCAGGGAGCATAAACTGGCTGGATCGGTCTGTTTTCATCACTGCCCTCTTCAAAAGGGTTAAAGAAAGGGAAGCTAGAGCTAGCCAAGATGCCATTTGATGGAAGGAGCAGATAAATCAAAATAGCAAACTATCTAGGTTTGTGTATCAGAAATACTGAGCCTGGGACCCTTTGCCTGGTTTGGGAGTCACTGACCTCATGTTTCTCGTGTCTTACAGACGACTATATTGCCATTGGCGCCGACTGTGAGCACATAGCAGCCCAGATTGAAGAATATATCCTTCCTGTACAGGGCTTCTTCAAGGGCCTGCGGGTCCCCAGGCCATGAAATTAATGTGCTTGGAGGGAAAAAAAGGACAGTCTTTCTTTGCATGAATGTTCTGCTGCAACTCTGCTTGTCAGGGCTCTGGATCTGGTTGCAGCTCTGCTTGGCTGAGCCCTGGTTCACCAACAAACCACCAGTGTGGTGTTGGGAGCTCAGGGCAGACCCCTTGCTGGTCCGATGGCGGTTATTTCCTTCCTGTTTGCACCATAATGGACTGTAATCCCATCAAAATGCTGTTTCCTGCTCTTAGCTCTGCTTCCAAATACACACAACTTCCCTGTGCCTCCCTGTTGAGGAGAGTGTGCTGAAATAGACAAAAGCAATGGGAGAAAGATGGAGTTTTCTTGGTTTGGAGGCTGTGGGGCAGGGGTTGCAGCTGAGACTACCTTGCTGCGAGAGCAGGTTGAAGAACCTGAGCATAACTGGGAATAAAGACTATTTTCAGCACAGTGAAAGAGCCAGAACTGAAAGCCCCTGAACTCTGGGATTGTGTAAGCCTTCTCTCAAATCCAGCATTAACCTCCCAGAGCAGACACTGCTGTTGGGTCCCAGCACCCTCATCTGTGTCCCGGCAGTGGGTAACAGTCCCTGCTGTTCACGAGTGGTGTAAAAAGCACTCGGAGTCCTCTGGGTTGGTTGCAGACTCCTTGACTGCCGTGTACGCATATACCAAGACGTCAAGAACACCGACATGAAATACAAAAACCGAGTGAGGAGCCGCATCTCGAATCTGAAGGACTCTAAAAATCCTGAGCTGAAAAAGAACGTGCTGTGTGGGGCCATTACCCCCGAGCAGATCGCGGTGATGACCTCGGAGGTGAGGAAGCCTGAGGAGTGGAGTTTGCTGCTTACAGGGGACGTGTCCTGTGGTTTACCTTGCAGCAAGGGGCTGCTCTGCTGCCAGGGTTGCAGGTTTCTCAGCTGCTGCTGCCAGAGGGCGTGGGGAGCGAGCTAACAGTGGGGTTTGCAATGTGGAGAGTTGTCTGTTGGGCCTTTGGATCATCATGGGGGTCTAGGTATGAACCAGAAGCCAGCAATGAAAGGCTTTCTGTCTTCATACCCATCTGGTAGGCCACTCTGTCCTGTTGACTCTTTCCACTGTAGTGGGTGTGGTGGTAAAACTGGACAGATGTGATTTTATTGCTTTTTTTTTTAAAAAAAAGGAAATGGCCAGTAATGAGCTGAAAGAGATCAGGAAAGCCATGACGAAAGAAGCAATCCGGGAACATCAGATGGCCAAGACAGGAGGGACGCAGACTGACCTCTTCACCTGTGGGAAGTGCAAGAAGAAGAACTGCACCTACACCCAGGTTAGTCTTCCTGCTCCTACAGCTTCCACACTGTTGGCCTCTGCACAGGACATGATCTGTCACTGTCATGAGCTCTTGCTGCTCCGTGACAGGCCCTGCAGCACGGCACAAATTTTGCCACTGATGGGGAGAACCTTTTTGTATGCTCGAGGCTCTCTAAAATGTGCTGCTTCTGTGCAATGATTTTACACACGTCTTTCCTTGGGGTTTGTGTAACTTTTTTTGGCTCGTTTGTACAAGAGCAGGCTTGGTGCAGCACCAAGGAAGCTTCCAAAATCCAACAGTGCTGCAGCTCAGGAGAGCTGCACATGGAAAGCAGGTGCTGGGAATGTGGAGATTCAGACAAAGGAGTGGGTAGCGTAGAGGAGAGAGACTGCAGAAAGCGAGGCAGGCATGTTGATGATATTAAAAAGTGCAAATTAAGAATGTAGATAAGCTGTGGCTGGACAAATCTCAACTTATTTAAAATCATACAGCATGAAACAGGTGAAACATAAGAAATAAACGGAGCAGCGATGTGAGCAGGCAAAAGGGATTTTTCTCCTCCACGGACAGCTGCTGTGCAGCTTGTGCATTACCAGTGCTTTTTGGTTCCCACGTTTGCACCAGGCATCTGGAGATAAACGTGCCTTTGCTGTGAGTCAGTGTTTCAGAATGTGCAGATACCCAAAGATGCACCAGCAACCCCGCATGCCGGTGCCGAGTGAGACTCCTTCGTGCACTTGGACGTGGCGTGCGGGCGCAGAGGAGAGGCAGGCAGCGGGCTGGGGGTTTCCCTCCGGCTCGCAGCGCGCCCAGTGAGTCAGCTGGAAGCACTGCCTGCGCTGTGTCTCGCCTCGGTGGCACGTGGGACTCCATCTCCACCTGTAGTGGACTGGAGTCCGACTGCCTGGAATTGGGGCAGGTGATGGCAGTGTCTTCCAAATAAAAATACCAGAAGGTTTTCTCTCTTTTTATTAGTTTTCCAGTGAAACTGCTGTTTGGTGACTGAGATGTTGTAAGTGCCAAGTAGATGGACTGGCATTTATGAGAGCGTTTGAAGCCAGGCAGTAATGTCGAGAATTACAGAATCTAGCTATGCCAGCATGCTTGCAAAACATGCTTAATCTGCATCATGCAAATATCTGACTCTTGCATGTTGGATAATTACACATGCAGATCACTGTAATTGCCCCTTGACATAGTTCTGCTGTCTGACTTGTGCAGGGAGTGCCAGTATTTCCAGCGTAGATCTGCCTTGCGATATTCAAATGCCACGAAAATCTGATTTTTTTAGCAAAGAATGTATTTCTGGCAAGAGCCAGTCAGAGGCAGCAGTCACATCTGGGTTAAATATCAAAGTGCCTTAATGGCTTAAATACAAACCAGACTGGAACTGTGCAGAACCTGGTAACCCAGAGCGTGTTCCTGTGAGGCCGGGACGTAGGACTGGTCTGTAAAAGGGAACGGCTTGAGTGCTTTTTTATGTGTCGCTGTGGAGCACGTGCTTGATGGGCTGAGGGGTTTGTGGTCTGGATTCTGGCTGCATCCTGTCCTGGGGGACAGTATGGGGAGGGTCTGGTTGTGGGTATGTCCACCTCCGGAGCCTCCTGCAAGGAGTGGGCAGCAGAGAGGGGTGAGGAAGGATACCTGCTGCCCCAAAACACGTCGCTCCGGGTGGTGTCACGCTAGAGAGGGGTCATGGGATGTGTGTAGAGCTGTATATGCATGTAAAACAATAACCACGCTCATTTTACAGGGAAGCTCCATTTGCCCTCCCAAGCCTTGCTTTCGTTGATTTCCAACAATGTGATCCCAGCACGAATCCTGGTGGCCAGAGGGACAAGGAGCTCCCCGTGACCCCGCTGCGGGGCCGTGTGCCGTGCTTGGCTCTCATTTCCCTCCTGTCCTCCCCCAGGTGCAGACCCGCAGCTCCGATGAGCCCATGACCACCTTCGTCGTGTGCAACGAGTGTGGGAATCGCTGGAAGGTAGCGCACCAAGGATATTACTGGCACTGAGGGGTGTTAGGGTGGCTGCACCCACGATGCTGCAGATGCCTAGCTGCTGCCCTCAGAGGTGCTTGCCAAACGGTGAATGGCTCTAGCAAGTGATCTTTCCTCCCAGCACAGAGGCAAGAGCTCCTGGGTTCATCCCATCTCTGCAGACCAGCTGGGGTCGAGTCTCACTTTCGCATTCCCTGCTTCCCTCCTCACACCCCCTCTTCTGCCATGACCAACTTCACAGTGCTTACCATGTTCCCTCTGCCCCCTGAGAGATGGTGGCGATGACATTTGGGATTTTAAAGCCGTTCTTTTGTACCGGGCGCAGAGCTCGGGGGTGAGCAGAAATCTTCCAGTCAACAGTGAGCAGAAAGGGCACCGTTACCACGTGCCAAAGAGCCACAGCCGAGAGATGCAAACGGGAGCTCGGTTTAGCCCCTGCCTCTGCAGAACCCCCAAGCCCTTGCCAGCTTCAGAAACGAGACCACCACTGGATCCTTACCTTCTTCTAGGCAGCACGTGCATGACCCGCAGCTCCTCCTGGCAGTGAGGTTTTTCTAATCGGGGTTTAAACTCCCTTCTCTTGCAGTTCTGCTGATATGTGCCATGGCCCACGAGCGGCAGCCAAACGCAGACCCGAGCGCAGCCTCCATCCGCCGGCTCCCACGGCCATTGTGTTTTGTGTCCCGAGTGAGTTTGCATTGTCACGCGCGGCGAGCAGCCGCGGGGAGGCCCTGCCTCTCCGCGTGGGCCCCCGTGGAGAGCCACAGCTGTGGGCTGGCAGGTTGGCAGGAGAGCTCACTAAACACACGTTAGTCGTTTATTTTCTCATCTAAGTACGGTCACTTTTTCTTCGAAACTAATATTAAACATTTTTTTGTCAGTTTCCGACTTTTACTTGAACTCTGTGTGTGTGGTACTTTGCTTTTGCGGCAGGGGAGCTTGGCAGATGGTCAGTGGCCAGATGGATGAGGACTGAACGCTGCTTGGACCACTGGAAAGTGAGAAGCCACTTGTAGGTACATCCTCAGTGCATGAAGGCTCGTTCCTAGTCAACTCATGAGTATTTAGTGACCTAAAACACTGGGCCAAGTCCTGGGGTGGCTGGGTGGGCAGTACTGGTCTTCCTCACCTGGCTGAGAAGACCTGTTGATGGAATGCAGCTTTTTTGGGGCACCGTGGGATGCTGCTTTCCATCTTGGCAGCGTTCATTTGATCTCGCAGTGATGCACGTCTTGTCATGCCAGGCCTTTTAATGCCAACAGCAGAGGCTGCTGCAAAGATGGGAATGTGAGGCTGAAAGCAGGGTGACACCAGCCACAAAACAAAGACCCAAGCTGTTGATTTGGGGGAGCAGAGGAGGGAGAAAGGTGTGTTAGGCCCTGGTGAGGTTAGCATCTCCTAGCACTCCATCCCTCTGTGGAAGGAGACCCTTGTAGCCAAGAGCTCCCTCAGCCCCTGGCTGGGAGCAGGGAAGGTCAGGGCAGTCGCAGGGAGGGTCTGCTCCCTTCCGGAAGGCGCCCCATGGCCATCACATGGGGAACCTGGAACGGTTAATCTTGGTACAGGGAGAAGCCATCAATAAGGGAAGTGGAGGGAAGCCAGTGGGAGTGTTAAAAGGGAATCCCAGGCACTTTCCTGCTTGTGTATGCTCTGCTCTTGGCTTCGTGGCTGAAAGGCAGCCTGAATTTTCAGAGGGACTCACTGGAGAGGCTCGGGAGGAGGGGAAATGCTGCAAATGCAGGAAATTTTCTGGAGGCTTGGACCTGGACGATGTAGAGATCACAGATATCGGTGGGAGCTGGTAGCACTTGGCTCTAGAAACGGATGAGGCTTGAAGGAGCTCGTGCTTGGAAGGGGTGAGACGAGGAGCTATAGCAAGGCAAGCCTCAGGTGCCATGTCTGCAGATGACCCGGTGATGGGCACCTGCAGGATCAGGCTCCTTCTGGGAGGTAACTAGAACCTGGTGGGGAAATTCTGTCTGTCCTCACAACAGCTTTCAGCTGGAGACTTGAAATCCCTCTTCTCTTTCCTCGTGTTTAACTGGGGGGATGCAGCATTTGAGGGACCCCAGTAAGGCCTCAGGAGCAGCACTCTGCACTGCAGCTGTGCAAGAGCATTTGCAGTCCCATCTCTTACGGCATTATTCTCCTATTCCAGAGCGAAAAACAAGTATTTCCACTGGCTTTTCAGCATGCTGAGACTACAGACATTCAACAGAGACCTTGGAGATGTTCAGAGAGGAGTAAGCAGCCACATGAAAGCAATGGAAAACGTGCTCACAGCCCCTTTGAGGGCTGTTCCCAACAGGAGGCAGAGTTCCCAACAGGATCCTTCGCTTGGGGCTTTCACTTTACGGGGTACAGCCAAGTCTCCCAAGAAGGAAAAGATTCAAAGATGCTGACAACTCGTTTAAGCCTCACGAGTCTTGTGGCGAATGGGATTATCCAAGCCAGGCTTGGGAGGGAACAGTGTCCTGGCAGTAATGCTTAAAAAAAAAGCTTCAGGATCGAAACCCGAAGCTGGCCAGGGTGCTCTGGCTCGTGGGCTGCGAACGGGAGCCAGCTAATTACCGGCTGCTGTGGCCTCTCTGGGGTTACTGGAAGGAGGGGAGCTGAGCTCGGGCAGTTTGCTGACAATCCTGAATTAGGTAGAGAGTCCCGAGCAGAAGGAGCCCCTCGAACCGAGGGACAGGTACCATGTCTCAGGGCATCTTACCGTGCCAGCTTCTGGGATAACACCAAGGAGAGCCAGTGAAGGGAACACCACTGGATAAAGAGGTGTCCAGGAAGCAAAGATTTGCTTACAAGGTGTTTAAAAATGCTGGGATTGGGAGCAAGAGACAAACCAGATTATCCAGTAGCAGCGGGGTCCTCCCTGGACTGAGACCCCTGTGGTGTGCGGAGAGGCGGAGTGCCACCCCCCTGCCATGCTCTTGCACAGCTTCAGGGATGCTCAGCCTCCAAACCTTGAGCTGGGGCCACGTGTGGAGAATGAAATGTTTCCTTTAATTGCAGATCAAGCCAAGCACCCAGAACCAAAACCTCCCCAGTGCAGGGCTGGGATGCCGCGGGCCTGTCGCGGTGCAGGCTCGGCACTTGTAGGGCTGTGGGAGGGGAAACCCCTGCCAATAACAACCAAATAATAATAATACTGACATTCCTGCACAAACAATCTATCTCTGGTCTCTCTCAAAAATACATTTTCTTGAACTGTATTTCCAGCTTGGCAAACAAAACTAGATTTTACTGACATGAATTTCCACCCAGTTGTGCCACTAGGAAACAAACAAACAAACAAAAAAGCCGAGAGAATTTTTCTTTGTTTGTTTAAAAAATATCTTCAATAAAAAGAACCAGTGTTCTTTCTTTCCCCCCCCCCCTTCGAATGGGATAGAGAGAGAAAAGAGGGGAAGGGGTAGATAAATAGGAAACTGTGGGCTGTTCTGGGTCAGGAAAAGCAGAGGTTGGTGCTGGGTGGCAGGACCCTGGCCTTGGCACGACCCTGGTGTTGGCTTCATTTCGGCGTAGGGGACGGGGCTGCTGGCAGAAATGTTTTCATTCTGGGTGCCGGGGCTCCAGTGAACCATTCCTCACGCCATACAAAAATACACACATAGAGAATATCATCCCTGTGCCATTTCCCATCCTGCGTGGAGTCCTGCCCGCCCGCTGCTTGGTGCCAAGCTGTGCCTGGGGCACAGGGGCAGAGCCCTGTGGGCTTCTCCCCGCTGGTGGGGCAGGTGTGGGCCCCCCGGGAGCCTTTGCTTTTGGGGTCCTGGTGCTTGCAGGTTGTGTTTTCCCCTTCCCTGAGGTCCATGAACAGGGGATGCAGGATGCTCTGGGTTTGGGGTGA